TTCTTCTTCTTCTTCCCCCCTGCTGGCTTAATAATGACGGGGAAGGATTCCCCGCCAATTGCCGGCGTAGAGGAAGCCACGGCACGAACCGCAGCCGCAGGGGTCGTCTGCCCCCCCCCCCACCGCTCCAGCATATCCACCCTGCAGCGGCTTTGCGGGGCGTGGCTGGGGATCCCGAAAGCCCAGAAGGAGCTCGTTTCTGATTGACGTAAATTTCGCATCAATCAGAGCCCCAATCCTGGCCAGGAGAGTCCCATCGTCCCTCGCCGTGGTGGTCGCCGGAGGCGGCGAGTGGGTGTCGAACCGACCTCCCCGGGCAGGTGGTGACGACGGCCTGCTAGGGGAGCATCTAACCTCCTCTTGAGGACCATCATCTCCCCACGCACAACGTCGAGAGTCTCTCGGAGGCCCTCGACCTCCCGCCGGAGGCCGGCGTTCTCCTCCCTGAGCGTCTGGACATCCGAGTGCATCCTGTCCCACAGGGCTGCAATCGGTGCGCCGACGCCTACGGGGGAGGAGGCATCCCTGACCCGGGCTTTTTTGGCGGCCTCCCGGGTTACAGGCGGCGACACCGGCCGGTCAGCACCAGCGCGTCGTTTGGCCCGAGCGCACGAGGCCGAGGACATTGACGTCATAGAGACGCCATTGTCCTCGTTCACCCCCAGCCGTGACCCCGCTCTCGGATCGAGAGCAGCAAGGCCAACTCCGGTCCGGCGATCTCTCGAGCTTGCTGCAGATGGGCCTGCAGCCCCCAGCCCGCGTGTCGACGAAGCCCTTGAACGGGGCCTCGACGTCACACCTCCCTCCTCGACCACTTCCGGGCACGGTAACCCCTCCAACACAACGGTGCATGACCGTGTGACATTGCCGTCACCCCTGCTATTGCCGGCCGACCCGGCACCAGTGCTTCCTGCGTTTTTAATTAAGTTGTCCATAGTTTTTGTTTTACCGGCGCATCGTGCGCGGCGGGGCAGGCTGCTGGATGGGAACGGGTGTACCCTCGGGGGACATGCCTAACGAAAGACATGCCTCCCTACCCCAGTTCCCCGGGGCCCGTCCTTCGCATTTAACCCCCCCGGGAATACCGCACAGGGGGACACCCGCCCGTAGCAGGTGCGGGCTCCGACACCCGCACCTCACCGCGCACTACTTGGTCGAAGTCCGAAGGGGCCGGCTCCTGATCCCGCGCGGCACTACCACCTCGGCAGTGCGCGGCACTACCCTCCCCCCTGAGGCCAGCAGAAGCAAAGCCAGCGCACAGGGGGGAGCACTCCCAGTGGGCCACCGCGCGGGAACGACCTCTCCTCGTCCCTGTGAAGCGGTTTTCACCCCTACTCAGTGCGAGCCTTACCGGCATGGGAGGTCCGCCAGGATCCGGAGATCCCGCCGGCCTCGCCTCACACATCACAGGTGCTACTTCCCGCCTCGTACCCCTCTCCCCGTTAGCGACGCACAAGTATGTGCGCTCTCATGGTCCACCACGAGAAGATGGGGAGATAGGATTTTAAACCTGGGACATCCCTCAAATAGAGAGAACGGATCCACAGTGGGTCAGAGCCACCACTGTGGACGCCCCAGATCCTCCGGACCCCTCGCTATAGTCCTGGTGCCCCAAAATACAGCGAGCTCGCAACCCCGAGGATCGACTATTGGCGTCCCGTAGTCGAAACAAAGGGTAGTTCCCAGTTTCACCACGGTAGGCGCTCCGCCGTGAAAGAGACGGGATATCCCACGCCGCGACCGCGACGACACCGTAGTATCAAGCAGTGGTTGCCGGATACCTGGCGCTCCAGGATTCGCCAACCTCGCCAACCTGCCCTCTTCACGGTAGGCGCACCACCGCGAAGAGAGCCGGCCGACCTCGTCCGCACACACCTACTCGATCCGCGTGCGAGCCATACGACCGACCAGCCACTAGGCGCTCCGGTGCCTGGCCGTTCAAACGGCAATTGTACCCCTAGCGGTAGGCGCTCCACCGTTAAGGGGACAATCGGTAATTGTAAATCGGGTAGCACCTGTACCAACACATACCCCCCGACACACCGCCGTAAGCTTACCTATAGAGTGCTCTGATTGTTATGTTTCAGGCTAACAATAAGGACCCGATCTCGTAGACCGAATGTCCGGTCATATTGTATATATGTAAACGGCCTGATTCATTCAAACGACCCGCATCCTGACTTTCCATCTCCCGCAAAATCCCTCGGTTACAAAAGACAGCGAGAATCATGGTTTTTTGCCTAAAATCATGAGTAATCACGTTCTTAGGCGCAAAGCTACGATTCTCGCTGGCTTCAAATGTTTATACTTTATTATAATTGTGTATATAATTATTATATCAGTAGTATATAATTTTTGAGAAAGATTGCAACGGTATCAGTTTATTTTTTGTACATACAAATAGAAATAAATTAATAACAATATAATGTACATAAGGAAGAACTTTAGCTTACATTACATCATTTACAAATCGCATCTTTCTTCTCTTTCCTCTCTGTTTCTTTCAACACATTTCTTATCCTCCTTTTTTTCCCTTCCATTATTTTTTTATTCAGATTAATTTTAAAGTAAATATAAATACATATGTATAGGACTACGCTGTTGTGTGTGTACCCAACTGATTATATGATATGTGGTAGTAACGATACTGGCGCCGCCAATAGCGCCGGGCGCGAATTAAATACGGTAGCTTGGTGGCCCTCATGAAAACTGTATAAGGAGATCCAACTCCATACGAAAGTTACTAGAAAACTGTTAGCAAAATTCCGAACTTAAAGTTATGAATATTTCGTCCACTCGCGGCGCTAGTGCGCCCAGACTACGATATATATACAGGGTGTCCCAAAAGTCGGGGAGGAGCCGCAAATGGGGGGTAGCTGAGACGATTCTGAACAACAATTTCCTTTGCAAAAATGTCGGATGGGGCTTCGTTAAGGAGATATTAAGCGAAAACCCCGACCAATCAGAACGCGCGTAGACTGTTCGAACGGCCGCGGTAGCGAAGGCTACGCGCTGGCAGCCGCGCTTGTACACGAACAAGTGCCATTGACGCTGTCAACGGTCTACGCGTACTCTGATTGGTCGGGGTTTTCGCTTAATATCTCCTTAACGAAGCCCCATCCGACATTTTTGCAAAGGAAATTGTTGTTCAGAATCGTCTCAGCTACCCCCCATTTCCGGCTCCTCCCCGACTTTTGGGACACCCTGTATGTCATATGTGTATGTACTATCATATATATATCGTACTCTGTGCTCACTTGCGTCGCGAGTGGTAGAAATATTCATAACTTAAAGCTCGGGATTTTAATAACACTTCTACACTATACAGTTGGAACTCCTTATACAGTCTTCATGGTGGCCCTGTATACTACTCACTGTGCTACTGTCCGCCTTTGGGCTGAGATAAGTTTTGATAGCTTCTTCAACATTAAAATTACCGAACCAGTCATTTCGACTCATGTATTTCTAACTTCTTTTTTACCATAACTCACTTGTTAACAATGTGCTTGACAATTATTTAACTAGAAAATCAATTATATAGAATAACTGGTTTGCCTTTATGTTAAAGTATAATCTTCCAATAAGTTGGTAGCTCTTAAATATAGTTTACGGTAATGTCTTTTAGGTTGGCAACGTTGCTTTTACAGGAAACGTGGCGTTTGTTAAGAAACGTGTTGCGATCTCATAACATGGAACGTGTACTTTATTTTCTGTTTTTTTAATTACATTATTTTTAGTAGAGCTGTGTTGTTTTTAATACAATAAAACCTCATGCAAGTCCAACACTTTATTTAAAAAATATAGTAACATGTTTGATAGGGATGCACTGTCCTCGATGTTTTTGCTGCCGTTTTAGCCGGAAGCACGGAACTGGTGGTGAGGCAGGGTCCAACCTCGGCCCTGTTGCCACTAGAAATTTTGAGACACCCTGCAAGCCAAGTTCAACCACCAAGGCACAGGGAACACATAGAACCAGTTGCTAGCGGTTTCCACGTCAGTCTCCGAGGAACGTTCAGTTCATCGTCGCATTTAGCCATCGCCTACGCGGCCTTCAGTTACATGGGTAGGTATCAACGTGTGTTGTCCTGTTGAGTGTCACGTGACCCAGGCGCTTCCCATGTAGCTTAGGCGGGCGTGGAGTTTTAGTGGATAGCCTTCGGCGCTCCCATCCTTGATGGTAGTCCCACATAGCCTCGGCTTCTCCCCCGCTTCTCGGGGGAGAAGCCGAGGTATGCGTAATGCATTTCCCCACGATAAAAAAAAAAAAGGTATCAACGTGTGTATAAGTCTATGATAAAGTAGAAGTGTCTACGATTCGAACACGTTAATTGCCGTGCTGAGATAGTAGAACAGGTATAGGTATTAGGAAAAATGGTCTATGCCCAGTGAGCATTTCATATTACGACGAGTGGAGATTATACACATTTTGTTGCTCTCTTTAATTCTTTACTACTCCTGTGTCACGGTGGTTCAATCGGACGAACCGTCGGAATAGGTTAGCGCCGATTCAGTCGGTCCCCAGGGGTCCCTCCGGGATGGGGCTGTGGTTGCTTCGACCATACATACATGGACTGCTCGAGCTATAGTGTAGTCCGTAACCAACATCTCCCATGCCAAAGTTACGAATAAGCAGTTGTGTGCAAGCGCTATAGTCAATGGGCGATAGCAGTGGGAAAAGGCGCGAATTGAAATTTTTGACGGTTTGGCGAACTACTCTTCGACCATTGGTCAAAGCTGCAGTCAGCCTGTCATCTAGATGGAATTTTTGCTACAGTTCTCGAATTCGACGCATGCGCATTAGCGTCAAGTCTCACTTTTGGTATGGAGATGTTGGTTACGCTCTGCTCAGTGTATAAAGAGTATATATGGTCCAAGGAGGTAGTTGCCCCTGTGAAGGGAGAGTGAGAGAGGGGAGAAAAGGAAGGAAGCGTTTCGTCCTGGGCTGCTAGTGGACTCGTCAGTATCAAAGAGGATTAGATAGAGTGGAAGGTCCCATACGAGTTTCAGTGCCCTCTGGTGAGTGGGAACCGTATTAAGCATCCCCTCCTTTCACCTCACTCCGCAAGTTGCTCCGTAGTTCTATAATCCCAGAAACCTCAGGTCACAAATTTGAATTCTGTGAACTTACATCACAATAACGACGCATAACAAATCTTTCATGGTACAATTTATATTTTGTAATAACGTAAAAGTTAAAACATAGTGTATAAAGTGTATCATGGAAAAGTGTTGCGCGTCTTTATTGCGACAAGATTTCTGTAAAAAGATTGAAGTTATATGATGTAATAAAGTATATATAATTATGAAACATAAGTTACAATTAAGTAATATAAGTTCATACTTACACTTAGTTATATAGTATAGTTACATTAGTTTATACTTAGGAATTATTTATACATAATAGTAAAAGTTAAAAGAGAGGTAGGATATAATAAATTATTGTACGGTATAAACATACAATATATTCTTTAAAATATGTATGCACAATTATACAATTAAGTTTTTAAATTAATTAAAAATTAAAATTATTTAAATATTAAATTAATATGCGAATGCTCCTATTTTCTCTGGCATCAATGTTCGCAAACTGGAGCCTCTCGTCTCAGCTACAAAGGATAAAGTCATCTTTAATGTTTTTCCCTCACATTTATAACAAACATTCACATAAAACATACTGTGTACTTACATAGCAGGATTTTTCGGTAATGAAAACACTATTATTCCAGCATCTCCTGCTTTACGCATCTAGTCTGCCATGGCACATTTATGTGGCATTTTATGTTAACTGTTAAGAAAGAAAATAATAAATACAAATATGTCATATATTATGAGAACACAGCAGCATACTACAATCACATTTTATGAAATTATACATATATATAATTTATTAAATGTAGCTTTAAGTTATGTATAAAATGCTTCGAATCGGACGCCGCGATGAACAGGAATGTTTGGAATTTACTAAAAAAACTTATTTGTTGGCCATGACCGACGCTCAAATTTCGAACAAACGATAACTCGAAAATAACGCTCAAATAATATGATATACGCGAAATAATTTAGAATACTTTTTCGTTGATTATTAAAACATGCAAACATTATCTAAAATATACTTACATATGTATTAGGAAACAACGCCGAAATTTACAAAAAACACGACAAGACGCACAACTACACGGTAACGGTATAAGTAGGTATAACGATATAAGCACAGAAAATATAATACATATGTTTGCACTACACGTTCTAAACGATTCCTTAAAAGTTTGGTTCTGGGATACTAAAGGCGCTATAAATCGTATACGCATACCTTCCACTCTATCTAATACTCTTTGGTCAGTAAGGCCAGGGGGGCAAAACTACCGTATTAAAAATTGGTACAAAGTTTGTAGCGCCGTCTGGGTTTGTGTCTCCAACTAAAAACGTGGTTTCACTTCCCTGCAACTGTGCTTGGTCCCCCTAAGTAAGGCTTGCTAGCAGATTCGTGCCTTAGACGCCACAATATTTTGGAATTCGGTCGGGAAGGGCTTATGTAGGAATGTTAGGCGGAACCGAGTATTTGTGAGAAACGCGCGGACCGCGCGGTAAATGGATTCCCTTTTCACTATTTTGAGAATAATATATTGTATCTAATACTTTATATACATATCAATAATATTCAAACACATTTTGTTCGGTTTGGTTTCACTGCGTTTCTTCGTAAATCTGTCCTCCCATTCACTATATCAAGAAAAAGTACATCATTAATGAGATAGTACATCCTTGTTAGTAAATATCATATGCATATCGTTGTAAATCGTGTTACTGTTGATTATTACTGTCGTTGGCTAAAATCGTTGTCGGTCAAAATCGTTGCCGGCTAAATTCATTGTCGATCAAATTCATTATCGGTTAAATTCGTTGTCGACTAAAGTCGTTTTCGGTTAAAGGCGTTGTCGGCCAAAGTTATTGTCGGTCGAATCTGGAGTCGGTGAAATGTTGTCAGTAAGAAACGTGTCGGTTATTTTCATGGGAACCAGGCACGAAGTGGTGTTAGATTGGCGCCTGCGCGTAGTTCATAAAACCAACCGTTGCACGTCAGACACGAAGCGGTGTCAGATTGGCGCCTGCGCGTAGCTCATGAAACCAACCGTTACACGGCACCATCAGTCGGTTTCATGAGCTACGCGCAAGTGCCAATCTGACACCGCTTCGTGTCTAACGTGGGCCCACGTCACGTCAGAACAGTCTGTGGGACGCTTTACACCTGTAGTAGAGGTTTGGGAAGGTCTCTCACCAAACAATGAGAGTACGTCTGTTTACCTTCGACCAATAGGCGAAAGGGAGCAGGGATCGGACCGGAGTATAGACAAAACGAGAAACACCTTATACAAATTATAGATTTATTTTTGATTTAAATACAACACTTTGTCCCTTACGTTAGATTACACAAGTATTGAGAAGTCGATAGGTGTACCCACCGCGAGTACCGTTCCATTAGCGATTTGAACACTTCTCACATATTACCAATGTGACCACCGAATAATGGCTAGCAACCAATCCAGAACTCTTGCCATTGAATTCACCCAAGCACTAGACCTCACCTGACACCAGTAGCGAGGTACGCTCGACAATCGACCACGAGACATTAGGCCGTCCAATCAGAGCCCAATGACTCCGTAGTCGACATCGGAGCACGAGCACTGGGTATTATAATTCACTAAATCAAAACCGTTAATTCATGTCCGAGCAGCCAGGGAACCTGCCATAATTAAACAACAAACAAATCGGTCTGGTGAACTCGGGGTGGATGCGCGCGAACGAACGTAATACGACTGAGCGCCCCTTTCCATAATCGCCGTGTCTTACCTCTCTATTTCCTCACTCCCTAAACACCTCACGCTCAAATTGTAAATGAAACGGAACGTGAAAATTACAAGAGAAACGAACAATATACAGTACTTTAGAATGTTACGGGGTGGGGGGGGTGGGGGGTGAATAAATCATATGTACGAAATCCTTGTATGTAACAATAACGAAGGTAAATTTTATTATTCAGTCTCACACACGATGTTTCGTTATAGACCTCTGGTTATAGACTGATCCGTCGAACTCCCGACTCGTTGTTCCTCAAGGAAGCAACCAGGCAGGGGAGGAAAAGACTTTCCTCATTAACGGTCAGCGGCTTTGTAATGCCGCTATCAAAACGTTACGTGGTCTGGCCATGATGAACTCATTGCCAGACGCCGCCGCGCCATCGACTTCGTTTATATGTCGCAGTTCTTACAGTACAATAACTATAAGAGTAACGAACAAAGAACAAAAACTATAAAAGAAACGAACGAAACTTATTGCGATTGCGTTGACAACAACGTCTCTTGCAACTATGTAAAATCGCACTCGTAACTTATATTAACCAACTACTGTTAGAGACTGAAGGTTTAAGTATGTCTGATTTACGATAAAGTACAACACTCAGCAACTCGTTCTCTTCTAGATTGCTTCGCGGGATCTGATTTCCTCTGTCGCAATCATAGATGCATACCGAATCAGTTGAACTGCGATGGATTCGATCACTGCGGCGACGACAGCGACGAACCAGCTACATGCTTCCGAGGTGCTTACAACGAGTATTTGAGGTATGCAGGGATTATCCACTCATGCTTGGTTTACTTTCGTAGATTGGGAATTGGAACCCGAGGATAGAAAGTGGCACTTGAACAAGGCGAACTATTACTTCCCAAAGATTGACCGGTATCCGGATTTGAAGACGGCTACCCTAGTTTTCATAGCCAGCAGCCTCGGTTTGATCATTCTGATATCGGCTTTGATCGTTCTGCTGTATAGAATGGGCGCCAGGGCGAGGCAGCAAAGGGAGTTGCAATCGAGACTACAGACGATCAGCGAGTTATTAGGTAGGAGGTCGATCGACGATCAATTTGGTTTATGTAAAATAGCATAGTAACTTTATTTTGGCATTTGATTCGACTGACATTTAGCCAAACATGTCGTCGTTTAGCGGAGATGGTACACTCCCGGACAAAAAGATAGCACATGGGTAATATTTCCATATTTTGAATAGTACGTTCACAATTTCCTAAATATGGATGGTTATAGATGGAATGTAAACAGCAAGCTGAAAGCTGGAAGTATTTGTTTTTATTTCAGTTTCTCGGAATATGCTATGTAGAAGGAGGGGCGAAAAGATAGCACACTTTCATAACAATTACTAGTATTTGTCAATCTTTCTATGAGGCTAGACGTGTCAGTCAGTTTACTACACTTGAATCCCAAGTAATTTAAAAGATTGAAGCATTTAGCAGTCATGGATCGAGGAAAAAAATGAGTTAAGAAGAGATTAACACAACTCTTGTTTTAAAGGATCAAAACTTTTCTATCTCTAAAATTGCTTCAGCTACCAAAAGAAGTCGGAAAGTAATTTACAATTTAATAAAAAATGTGAAAAATTACGGACGGAAAAAAAGTACTGGTCGGCCATCGGCGTTAACGAAACGTGAGAAAAGAGTAATTCTTCGTACGGCATCGAATTCTTGCCTAACAGCGAGACAAATTACTCATGAAACAGGTGTCAAAACTAACGTTAGAAATGTATGTCGTGTCATTCAAACGTCTGAACATTTTATACGGAAGAAAATTCAGAGGAAACCGCCATTAACAGTACGCCACAAAATGGATCGTTTAAACTTTGCAAAAGAACACGTTCAATGGAAGAAAAGATGGCAGTATGTAATTTTTTCTGATGAAAAAAGATTTAATTTAGACAGTCCAGATGGCTTCAATTACTATTTCCATGACATTAGAAAAGAGCAATTATAGTTATCAAAAGTTCGTCGCCAAATGGCCGGAGGCAGTACAATGGTATGGGCCGGAATTGGGTACAACGGACGAACAGATATACAATTCATTGATTATCGAATGAATGCTGCAATGTATTGTGACGTGGCAGATTGCCGCGTCACAAAGTAGGTGAACTCTCCGCGGGGAACGAGACCGAGATCGCGAGCGTCACCAAGGTAATCCAGGGTTAGGACTAATTTGCATATTTGAATGGCAATAGCGTTGGGCTAACGACGGCAACATCCAGCAATGCGGCTTAGAGGCTATCGATCCCGTTCAACCCGGCGCCGGCTGCACAGACTGGCCAGACGAAACTCAAATGGACAGGGGCTGGAGGATCTTGGTAACAGCCACTGGACTCCGCTACGACCTTCAGGGGGCAGGAGGCCGTTTAGGACAGCGGAGTCAGCCGGGTTCTCGAGTGCACCGAGACCCGGTTCGCTCCAGAGCCTTCAAGGGATGCCAGCACGGACACGCCACCAAAGTCGCCAAGGGACAGGACTGGACGATCGCCGATGACGAGCGCGCCGATAACGCAATTTGAATTTGGCCGCCACAGAGTGCCGCGTGCCGCCGACCAATGAGGTGAGGCTGGGGGGAAGCGCGTGAGCCAACGCGTGCGACGAGCTCGCGTATGTCGTCCTATTTCGTCAGCGACGCACTTGCGGAACGGTACGGTAAGCGCTTCCTCCTTCACCTCACGCTCGTGGATAGGATATCGTAAATTGGTCGGGTATCTGGTGGCTACCGAGCACCCTGTCGGGCGAAATAGCATTGTTAGCGGGAAATCGCCTTTTCGTAGGATATCGAACGAAATAACGAACATTTAGTCGCGAATCCATTGTAACGCGCACGTGTTTAGATCGCTGCCGGTTAACGTTCTCGTCGAAGAGGTCGAGCCCACCGTGACCGCGTCAAGACTGTCCGAATATCGTTTCCAAAGTCGCTTTTGTGCGAATCGCGACGAAATCTGGGCTAAGGTGAACGAAATCAGCGCGTGTTATCGAAATGAAGTTCTCGTGTCGGTTACCGGTCGTCCCGGTGACCTTTGACGCTACGACAGCTCGGCAGTGTACACCGTATTTTGTAACATCTTTCGCGTACAGTATACACTATATTATTATTAACGAGTGCTGTGTTAATCCGCCTTGTCTTGCCGTGAAGAAGACTTCCTTTCCTCGCCGACGATCCACGCCCCTCTCCGCGATCTGGATCGCTAGCCGTGGTAATTTTCGCGACGTTCGGCTTCTCACGCCGGTATCTCCTGATACCTGGCGCTCGGGTTTTTCCGTAAAGGCGTGAGGAGTCGGAAAACTCTCATTTTGCACGCTTCCCGACGCGGATCGCAGACCGT